AGTTTTATTTATACTTTCTTCTAAAAGGGCAAAAGAGAGACGAGTGCCAGCTGCTACATTTGAGAGACACTATCTCCGTTTGCTGTCCCTGGCAATGACTTGCTTGGCCTATACTTGGAACCATCCCTGACTAAAGGTTTCATTCTCACCAACTCAGAAAGCTTAATCTACATCACTCATTTTCCAATTCATTAATAGATCAGACGCAGCACAGAAGGAACAAGAAGCTAAGTAATGTACTTGAGTCGACATCTGGAAGGATGAGAATGAAAAGGGTTCTCCTGCCATGATTGTGACCTTTGTACTTGCCGTAGCCATCAACCAAAGTATCACTCTAGATGCAAGGGTGGTCCTAATGATACTACTGCCCACTACAAATTAGATCTCTGTCTATAATTAAAGCAAGATTTTTTTTCCACCACTAGGGCTCATCTGGCTTTCTCATCTAAAAGCTCATCCTATAAATATGGGGCAAGAGTGCAGGATGACGAAAAGAGAAGGCAGTAACTCCACCACGGGACGGTTTGGTTGTTTTAAGACAATCCCAGGGCTCTGTTTTGCAACTATTTCCTTTTACTCTGCGTTTGGGCTGCAAGTCAGTTGCTGTTATTGCTGCTTCCTCTTCCTGCCCATACGAAATATTTGCAGCAAATTTCAGTTTAAGTAAATTCCAACCAACCAAAACCACCCACAACTCCTTTTGTAAAGTTTTAAAGGACTATTCCTTACGAACACTGAAAATTCAAATGAAATAGCGCTTTATGCAGAAAGGTTTTGGTATAACTTCCATCAATTCCATGGAATATGTTCCTGTTTTATTGCAAACTGAAATTCAGTGACAACTGTGATTCAGACTTTGCTGTCTTCAATTCCATCAAAAAGCTGGGTGCAAAACTTTCTACTTTTTGCAGAGAGCACTATACGCAGGCTATTCAGTGTAGTGATCTTTCTTTGGAGATGGGCCTATTTTATAAATGCATGTATGTCACAAACAGCTTTAATAAAAGTTAAATACAAGATTGTGGGAAACTTAATGATCTCAAGAAATTCAGTATTTGTCTATGATTACATTTGTAGTAACACAGTGCGATAAAAAGAGGCTCCTTTGTTTCTGAAATATTTTCCATTTCCCATCCTGAGCAATGAGAGAAACAATGTATTTTACTAACCAGCTGAAGTGGCATCTAATACTGCTAATCATGCCAATCATTTAAATTAGGGTAAGAATGAGATAAAAGCAATGGGTAAGAGACATGTGGAAAAGGTAGAAAGGAGGGGAGGAGAAAAAGGGAGTTAATTAGTGGGAGACATACTCAGGTCTGTCTAGCTTTTACAGATCACTATTCACGTAAAAATATCAGAGATCCACCTTGTGTTCTTGTGAAAACTGAGGCTGAAACCTCAGATATTTCTGTATTGCCCTAATGAGAATATTTAGGATTATGCCATTGATTCATTTATTTCTCTTCCCTCTTACTTAAAAGCCGTATTTTAATTTATAGATTGGTAACATGCACTAGCTATCACACAGGAAAACATCCAATTAGACTCACGGTAAGCAATTCCAAAGTCATGTTGAACAAGAAGATGCCTGTAACATAACTTAACAATTTGCGAATGTTCATATTTCACTAGCATGAGTCACATTAAATGCGTTTTTTCCTCACACTAAAAAGTAGTATGTAAATTAGTATCTTCCAATGTTCAGACCCACGGATGTACATCTGCTGTTCTCATTTCTAACCATCTTCAAGTTGCTGATAACATACATACATAATAGAAGTGAATTTTCCTATGATTCACCTTTCAAATACTACAATTTTTTTCCTGTCAAAATTCTGCTAATTTACACTTCATTATAGGCTAGGAAGTGCAATTATGGATTATGCTACGCTAAGGTCTGTAGCCTCTACGTAAGAAATATGTGCTTTGCAAGATTCCATGTAGAAACTATCCTGCAAACTTTTATTCCAGTATTTTCTATCTTAGGATACCATCATTACAAACCTATGTCTGTTAGTAAGATGTTCGGGTCAAATTAATTAGTGGAAAAAAAAGACGTCAGTATTATCTGCACATTCTGTTTCCCACAGGCATATAGATTTGATAAGCAGCAAGTTAAAAGTCAAATTTAAGGACACTGGAAGGTTCAGCTCTGTAAAGGATATGTGGCTATTTTTTAATCCTATAAATTCTACAACAGACTAAACTGAAGTACAAATTAACTATTACTTATTAAAGCAAATACTTTAAGAGTACAAAACTTAGCAACTGAAAAGACGACTAAATTAAACGGTACACAACCACTTTAGACAAGAGAATCTGTCAAGGTTCCCCCCAGAAATGGTTGCACCCCCTTCTATCCCAAACCTGTACCAGCCCCTCTCACATACCAGTAAAAAGTAAGAGTAATAGAAGCCAGAGATGGAAGCAAATCTGCATGAAATCTAACTTTTTTTTTTTCCCCCAGCTAGTTTAGTTTTAACCCCAGTCAGACCCCTAGGAGAGTTCACACATCTACACTTTCATCTCACAGGCATCTTCGCTCTCCCTAGTTTTCTTCACCCACTGTGGGCTACAGGATCCCTCTCCATCTTCAATCTGTACGCCCTGTTGACTCCGGTACTCGCCTGCCAAAAGGGTGAGCAGAGTCACCTTATTAACACACACACACACACGCACACACGCACGCACGCACGCGCGCACACA